TATTTTCCAAGCGATTAGCGACCGCCGTTTGACAAACAACGCTCGTAGGGATTCGATTTCGATTCGATTCGTTTCGTTTCCAGATAGGGAGAAAATCGCTCCGCCCCGAATTAATTATTGGCGTTAATAGAAATTGTATCAATGGACAGGCTTATTAAACCGGTGAGTGAATGAGCGGATTGGGCGTATACGTGTGCGTGGTTGGTTTTGGTTTGGTGGAGGATCGATTGCTTCGAGTGTTTCTTTGGAGATTATTTTAGATTTGGTATAGTTTTAATAATAAAAATTATTATTTGTTTGAAAAAGAGATCATTATTCGTTTGTTCAATTTTTTGGAGAATAATTTTTTTTCGTATCTCTTGAGAAAAAAAAAAAAAAAGAAATGAATGAAATACGGTTTACAATTAACAAGAGATTAAAAATAGACACTTTGTTGTGCGTCTCTTTCGAAAAAGTATATTTGTCTGAATGTATTGTATTTGAAAAAAAAAAATTGTTCGATCCAATTTTAAAAGATTATTCTATTTTAAAGGGTGATCAAATATCTTTTGGACCGTGAATTTAAGCGTTTGTGATATGCGTTAATACATGCGTTTTATTATTTTTTTTTTTTCGCCCGTAATATAAATGTTTATTAATTTACAAATGAAATGGTAATAATAATTTTTTTTCCTTTATTAAAATTTGTTCGTAATAAAAACTTAAATGTTGCATAATAAAAAGTGACAGAGAAATACATTTATGGATTAAAACGAAAGCCTGCGAATGTTTGCCTGATCAATCAGTGAAAATATTTCAAAGCAAATATTTAAAAGCAATTCGAAATGTTCGAATCGGGAAACTTATCGAAAGAAATATCTTTGAGTTTAAATATAAAATTTCAAGAGTCACGTGAAAATATTTTCCGAGAGAATAATTTTGCCTTTCTCTAAATTTTTATTTAATTTTATAAGTCGTTAATTATTATTCTCTTATAATTTCTCTTGTAATTTCGTTTATTTAAATTATTTAAAACGAAAAATTTCTTTTAATAACTACGAATCGATCATTGTTAAACTGGCGAGATTAGAATTGTAAAATTCACGATGATTTGAAAAAAAAAAAAAATGGTTCGAAATTCATTTTATTCAATGGAACGTTTATATTTCTTCTCATTTAACTGTATCATCCGGGCAATCGAACTCCTATCGATTATCCCCTACATTAATGTACCAGTTACTACTCCAAATAATTGGCTTCCAATTATTTCATCAATTGATTTAACAATTAAATTTTTATTTTAACTATTTTAACTTTAAATTAATCGTAAATACTTTAAACAAATATCCAAATGAAATACCAATTAAGTTGCACAATTATAAATTAGAAAAAGGAAAAAATAAATTCCATAATTTTAACAATATCAAAAATCAAAATTTTTAGATAGATACATTGATGTAATGCGATACATACATTGGATTATATAAAAATACATTCAAGAATGAAGTAGATTTTTATTTTTCTAATTATGCTAATAAAAATTCGCAAATTAACCATAATAAAGAAAACAAATTACTATAATAAAACGAATAAACATGCATTAAAAAATATAATAAAAAATGAGTTTTCACTCACCACGCCCCACCAAAGTGCATCGGCATAGCTGGAAAAATCTGTTTTTCCATCGGGACCTATTACATCTTTTTCGGCAAGATACACGAAGTAGCTGCTGAAAATGAGACCTAGGAACCCGATGTACAGTGTCGTAATCAGCTCCTGTAAAACATCGAAAATATTCTATTTATAAAAATTGAAAATAAAAAAATATCGAAATTATTGTAGAATAGAATATACATATATTCTATTTTAAATCTGATTTAAGAAAATTAGTAATAACAAATTAATAATATATTATAACCTATAAATAATATAACTTATATGATATATATTTATACATATAACCTAACCTATACATGTATAATATTTTATATATATAATGAATAAATAAATTATTTAAATTTTTAGGTTAATAATAAAGTTAATAATAAAATACCTGACGATGGATGAAAACAACAGAGCCGAGAAGTCGCCACGTGCCACCTTGTCGATCGACATGAAGCATTCGTAATATTTGCAAAAATCTTATGCCTCTTATTGCAGAAGTGGCAAATACTTGACCGTTGCTTCCTACAGACAGCACCACCATCGACGCGACCACCACGATTAAATCTAAACAAAGATAAAAAGAAGAAAAAAACAAATGAAATCAATATACTTATCTTTCTCTTTTCTCTAATAATTCGTATTTATCTTCAAATATATAAGAGAACGAAAGAAATATATATTAATAATTCTTTTTTTAAACACGATGATTCGTATAACGAATATTAATTGTAGTGCTTAGGAAAGCGTTCAGACGACGACTGAGCGTACGATTTAGAATTACGTCTCGATTTTGTTTACATACTCGGTCGGTCTATTATCGACGACTTCTCCGAATCGAGACAGTAGGCAAAACATAAAAATAAATAATAGTATTCGTACGATAGCTACGTTTGTTTTCATTACAATTAGTAGTAAACTGAAAAAGAATATTATGATATTAAACATTGTCTCGAATGTAAATACATTTAAAAATAAAACTTTCGCAAGTTACTCTCACGAATATTTTTCTAAATGCGTCTTACATTGTAAATAATTCTCTAAAGATAACTCTCAATGGTATCCATTAACAGAAAATAATTCTCAAGAGTAACGAAAGTTTTACTTTTTTTCATCTGTAAATTAAAATTCACATATATAAATAGCCATAGAAAAAAAAAGATTTAATACATATGAAAGAGATTTATAGAGATTTATAAACTACATTTCAATTTTGCATATTTTTATTCTCTTCAATATAACTTTTTTTTTTCGAAATATAGAAATAAATGATAGAATTCACAAGATTCATATGAATCGTATTAATCTCAAAAAATTCAGATAAATCTTTTCTCGATATTAATCACAATGTATAGATGAAATAAGATATATATAAGAAAATATAAGAATATAGACGAATCACACGCCTTTACTAAGACTTTAAGGCCTTAACGAGACAAATAAAGACAATTTTGATACCGGAGGAAATTTCGCCTTTCAAAGAGGTCTAATTTCGACAATTAATTCACGACAATCGGAGGACGCGAATATTGGATTAACCCTCGGGCACAGAGCTAATTGAACTGGGATCAGGTGTGCATTAGTGGAACGCACTACTCACCTATGATACAAATCGGTTTCCGTATAAAGCGGAGCCTGCCGCAACAACCCATATACTTCGATCTGCAACCCGCGCTCCATAATCTCACCAAGTACTCCACACCGAAGAATACCACCAAACATATTTCCTGTGAAAAAAAAAAGAAAATGTACGAAAATATTTTTCTTTTTTTTTTTTTTTTATATTTCATTCTTTCTTTCTCTAAATAACTTAATTACCGTAAATTTTTATATGCAAATGCATATTTTTCATATTTTTCTTGTCATGTTATTTTTATTTAAATATATATGATAATTGAATATTAATAAAATTATGAAAAAGATCCCAATGTTGTGTTATAAAACAATCAATTTTTTCAAACAAACAAGAGAAGCTATTCTTATATAATATTATAGTGTAAATTTTATAATAAGTAAATTTACATAATGAAATTGCTGATACTTTATAAATGTATATATAATGTATATTATGTAATTAATCATGTTTATGTAATAATATATTTTCTATGACTATTTTTACTTTTTTTAGCTGTATAAAAATTCGTAATTCTCTTAAAATAAAAAATGGATAACGATGAATAGTGAGTAATATTTTTCTTTTTCTTTTTTTTTTTTAAATCTAAAAGGTATAATTTTAAAATCTTCTGAAATGGTCTAAAAAGAGCTTAAATTAAGCTATTAATTATTATATCTAGTTAATTATTAATTAATTATATCTAGTTTAAATAATTTTTCTGAAAAATGGATAAAGAATATTATGGAATAATCGTATCTTCATTTCGTATCCATATTCCGTACATTCTGCCAATTGAAGTTCCATTCACGATTTTCCCCCCTCCCTTTTCATGCAATATGAACGGCGCTTTATTCTCCACGTTACCGTAAAAACCTCTTTTTTAACAGGAGTTTGAATAGTCCATTGGGTTCAAAGGGTTAACCTTTTCGAAGAATATCTAACTCCGCATTTCATATGGATCCAAAGTTATAATACGTGACTTTTTTTTTTTTTTTTTTTTTTTCACTGGATATTCATCTTTATCGCGATAAATAATTCGTTTTAAGTTATTTTAAAAATTTTTTAAATTTTTCATTCTTTTTTTATCATAAATGATTTATCTTTTCGCGAAAATTTTAATCAAATTTTAAAATCGTAAAAATATTAATGTCAAGTTGTTAATTTTATTTAACAATAATTTAATTACTTGCATTTTGTTTCAAACACTCTGTTTTACTGCGTGATAAAATATGAAATATACGTTAAAATGCGCTTCTCCATGCATTTTTACCGTACATTTTATCCGAGTGATAAAGTTTAAAGACAATATTCCACGATTTAAATAAATTTCATATTTATTCCCATTACTATAAATCTACAAAATGGACATGTAAAAAAGAAGCAAAATATCAAAAATATAATCACAATATTTGAGGAGTAAAAAATAAACCTCCATTTTTCTTACTCATGTTCATTAAAAATTTAATTTTGCGTAAAAAAAAAAAATCTATTCATAACGAAGTTTTATTCAGAATATAGTTAAATGTTCAATTATTATGCAAATAAAATCAGAAGAAATATATAATAACATTTATATTGTTTACATAAAATACGCAATAAATACGTATTCACATAAACGTGAAATTACACAAGTTTAAATTTAAACTTGAATAATTCTCAACCTCACAATCGGAGAACACGATCGTGCAAATATCGTAACCGTGTATAAAAATT